ACCTCTCTCAGGGAAGTGAGCTTTCAGCCATTCATGAGCAGTAATACCAAAATGTTAAAGAGTGCTATCTTGCATGAAAACCAATTCTTCAGTATTTCCTTAAGTGCTGATATGTGGTTATACCTATTCCTGTAGTATGGTGAAGTATCTTTTCGCATTCATATTTTCGTGAAGAAGTAGTGGAAGCACAATGCTCCCCGAAACCATTTCACACTATGCCGTCACCTTGGGCAGATTCTTTATTTTCCCGGAAGTGATACGAAGATCTTCCATTTTGATGCTTGTCGAGTTGACTTTTTTGAGTTATGAGTTATTTTTGAACAAATTGCACTATTTCCTGGTCACTGTGGTTGAAATGGCGACCGCTTCTCCAGGTACCAGTTACATATCTTCCAACCTTGAGATTTGCATGACAATTCTTGATTTGACATCAACTTGGGCACGTCTTCCTTTAATGGCCCTCCATAACTTTAACAATGGAGCCCTAAAATTCGTAAAGGTAACGAGCAGAGCACACCCATCCAGGATAAGATGTGCACCTATGTTTGTAGTTTTTCCAAATTTGGGATACAATAGTCGACTTGAAAAAACAGTAAGGCCATTTCAGCCCCGCTACCTCAAGGAACATACACAGAAAACTCGAGAAAAACATTTCTAGATATAAATGAATTATAACTATTTTGAAATAAGGAATTGCCTTCCAATCACCTTGTACTTCACCTTCAATAGGGCAAATTCATTTTACAAGAATAACTCGTCGTTCGAAATCAAATTCTTCGACTTATTAAAATATCATATTTCTAGTAGAGTTCGATATGAAGCCACATGCACTAAATTTTCCTAAGAGCAAAGGTCATATGTGATTTTACAACATGAAAGTGGCGAACTGATGTCCTGTGAAAGCCACCAGAGTGTGTCGTTCAATCCTGGCTAAGAGTTTCCCACGTTTATATTTGTTATCTGATGATTCGATTTGAAAACAGATCCATAGAATTAACCTTTTACACTCTGAGTTTGAAATAAAAGACTTTGAATCAAATGATGAGGTTCTGCTTTAAACAAACTCTGAGGAGTAATGCTAATCACAACACATCCTACATACTCACCGACTCCATAAGTTTAATCGATATCTATCTAATTCGTTGGCTACGCAGTTGTAACTTAATCGGAATTTGACCTATGATGTTATCCATTGGACTCACTGAAGATTAATAATGAAAATACAAATCCTAAACGTCTATCATTCGCCAAAGTTTGATCAATATCTATCTAATCCATTTGCCACAGAATTCCAAACTGATGACGAATCCGGTCTTTTCCCACGGCAGAAAAGCTCGTTAGGTTAAAAAGTTGACATTGAGATTCAATTTGTAAAGAATTTATGCGAGTACACAATACATTAGAAAACTTTCTGGACTTTTTAGATTTCATGTCAAAGTTTAGGATATGGCATAAACAGTTTCCTATCAATGGCTTAGAACATTTTTTTATAAATGAGTTATTGCTGTTGTTTACACTTTTCGCTTCGAATTTGTAATTTAGATTTTGTTTCGCAGTTTCTCACTTTAAATTAAACTTTTTTTTACTAAGTAACGTCGAACGGATTAGATCGATTAGTTGCTTTCATTAGAACATTGATTAAAGTTGCTTCTTTCATCTTATCATAACATAGTCATGGACCAACATTTACAGTTCCTATACTGATTCTACAATTTTTAGTGGTTTCTAGGTTATTTCCACTTTAGAGGGACGTGTAGTGCAGTGGCTAGAGGTACCCTCAATACACATGGTAACTGTTTCTAACACAGACCTAGTGCTCGCCAAGGCTACCATCCCCTTGGGGTTACCAGACGTGTCCGGAAGGGTAATATCACTGAATTTATCCATCAGTAGATTCCAGGAGAGCATTTCATAGGCTAGATATACATCCAACATCTACGTAGCTACGAATGGAGCTGAATACATAACACATCCTTTGGAGATTGATCAACGCGTAAAGGCTTAGCTTTTAATTATTGTTTTAATCGATTGACATTTTGCAAGATTTTTTATAATGAAAAAATCAGCCTAATAATCTTCAATATATAGCCGTTTATTTACACTTCCACTAGTATATTGTTTAATTATCTGCCTAGGTTTTGGTGTTTCTTAATTTTATTCGGACTAAAACGTAACTTTATTTTGGAATATGTGGTTTTAACTAGATGCCGGATAAGTTTGTACAGGCTGGTTCCTGTATGGAAGACATCATTCTTCTCTGATTCTTGTAATTCTCATTTTATATCCTCTACATTTAGTTCTGTTCGGCATCAGGGTTTTTAAACAGAGCAGTGAAGCTATCTTCAGTAATATTCTTTTGTTGCTTGCTATAAAAATGTGTCAAATCTGGTCTCCAGTTACATTTTAAGAAATTTCTACAAAACTCTCGTCAGTCAAAGTATTTGCAATAATTTTATTTGAAGATGATTCCAAAATGTCTCGATTTTCAACGAAAATATCAACGAGAGGCTTCCATATGAAGTAAACGAAAATCGGCGTTGCTTTGAAGTTGTTCGTTGAAAACTGTGCTTACTTAGTATGCAAAATACATATTCTGTCGATTGTTTTGTCCTCAATGTTCTAATTTTCGCTCTGGAACGAGGGAAACGCATTAGTTAGTGATACTATGCAATCTGTGCTTGCTAACCTGGTTTGATCTCGCCTCAGGCCTGCCGAGCATTTTGTGCCTAGGGGGCTCAGAAAATTGGCACCTGAATTTTTTTAAAAATGTCTTTTTTACCTTATAAAAGTAGAGGATTACCTACGACGAAAATATGAGAACGTTCTTGCAATGCTATCCTTGGATTTCAAGGCGAATCTACTAGACCAGCACTCAACGACATCCATGAAGATGACGAAATGCACAATTAGTACTCAAACCCACATGCAAATCTCACGAACGTGTGAATAAATGCAAGACCACGAACAGAGTGAAAGAACTGCTAGGATTTACAGCATATGTCAACTAAAGCACATGGGTTAAAAAGTCTTTAAATCTTCAGATTTTCTATCCAGTTATTCTACCTACTGCTTACAGTATTCTCATATGTCAATTCTCCACTATCCAGGTGCTTACAATTAGTTCGACTACATATTGTATCTGTAATATGCATAAGACATGTGTAACATCTAAAGAGTATATTATGTGTCAGTTTGGGCTCATAAAAATGTACACTCTTCAATATGGCGGATTGCGTTCCTGAGTGATCCGTTTCTGTCACAACTTCATACCATTTATAGTGAAGCAAATAACTTTGGAAATTTTTCGGAATATGATTCTCAGCTGAAGAACTACTTGCTTATTTTATTTATTTTATACGGCTTGTCATCACGTTTACTGATGACGATCCCAGAACGTCTTGCATTCGATTCGTTTCCCTCGTGTGCACAATAGTCTTCGAACATTTCGCGTATTATTTCAGCCGCTGCTTAAGGATTTCATGTTCTTTATGATTGTCATTAAATGCTGGCCAAGTCGATTCTCTTTACAATCTTAGCAATAGCCGGGTTTAGGCGGTTTCACATGAATGGGAGGAGAGCGTTCAGGCGCGGATCGAACTAGCGCCTTTGCTTCCTGTTCGACTGCATCGCCAACCACTACACTATACCCGCCCCGCTGAGGAACTATAAATGAATTAATGTAATACTTACTTGAATGGTTTTCCATTGATGCACTATGAACGCGACTACTAACACATTTTCAGTTTTACTGATATGTTACTGTTTGAAGAACGCTTCTCTCAAGGATTGACGTTTGAAAGTCGCGCTAGGCAGCTCACAAGCCATCAGCGCTGGGACCGTTCTTTTTTTGTTCATCACCAGTAACTGACGATTTCTGATAGTGGATTAATCATGCATGTGGTTCTGGACAGAAATATCGAATTCGTTTGTCATTCATTTTGGATGAACGATGACATATCATGATGACACTATGAGAGAATAACTTAACTCATCAATAACAGAGAATACTGCATAAGAAACCACGCTCGTCGTGTGGGCGGGAGTGGTGTGAAACTATGCGGCTCAATTACTCAGGCGCCTCAGTTCGCAGCTGTCACTATAAGCAAAAGTTGTTTTGATTCTCTTCAAAGAACAGACAGTGTTGAAACCGTTCTGAATCGGGAAACGCTAACGCTTTCCAGGATTCGAAGACGAGAAACTGCCGCTGCTAGTTGCTTCTTGGATGAATTTCGTCCGCTTCAAGCAGTTCGGAATACTGCCGAAATGGTCATCTCTGAACATGCACTTTGTGAAATGTAGTGCATCTATCACATCTACAGTATTACTCCGTAAACTTTGAACTTCCTCTTTAAAGAAAGGAAAAACTATTGCTGTAAATAATGTTAACGTTGTCATTGTATAACTATCAACACTTTCAATTTCCTACCGCTTCCTAATCTGATTCCAGCGCTTTTTCTTTCCTTTTTAAGCATTCGTTTTCTTTCTATGTTCTCATCATTAACAAGGATCACAAGGTTTTTTACACAATACTACCTTCTCTGCTGTTCTGTTTTCCTCTCTTTATCTTTCTTTCTTTCTTTCTTTCTTTCTTTCTTTCTTTCTTTCTCTCTCTCTGTCTTTGTGTCCTTCTCACATATATCATTAGAACCCATGTTGTTATCGACCTTGAGTAACACATATTATACCTCAATGCATACTGCGAATTTGGATAGTTCTCGTCTCTAATTCTGAAGAGACACAAGAGCTCTATTCTGGAAGGATCCAATCTTTTCATAAGCTTGTAGTTAACCTCTAAGTTTCTTGTGTCAACAAGAAAAAAAACGAACGAACGAACGAGTACAGTAGGTATTTGCTGATAAGGATGTGATCCATACAATGCTTGAGATTTGTTCATTTCCGATCTAGTCGAAAATCGACGACGTACTGCAGTTGTTGTGACGGACGGAAATCGATGGCGTTCGATGATACTCCCCGAGAAGTGTGTTTATCGATCGACGCGATCAGTGACCGTGGCCGGCCAGGTAAGACGCCGTGCCCTCCCCCCCGTGTCCCGTCCCGCCGCTCGTCTCGTCGTCGTCGTCGTTGTCGTCGTCGTCGTCGTCGTCGCCGCCGTCGTCGTTGTCGCAGCGCCTAAAATGAGTAATCAGCGGCCGTCCGCCGGCCAGCCAACCAGCCAGCCAGTCAGAGCAGCCACCAATCGGCTGACTCCTATCGATCGACCAGTGATCACGATCAATGTTGCGTGCCCATCGACGTATCGATTTTCGAGTTTTATTCGTCCTAATGTCTGAATTGCATATAGTGAGGCGTGTGGTAATCTTGGCATCTAGCGGTGCTCCGTTTTTTTCCTTCCTTTTCTTTTTGCTCACATTGCTGATAATTCGGCATCTCTCCGATTTTATCACATTTTCAGTAAAATCAATGATAAATGTTTGTCCATTCCTTACTTGATTTATTCTCTTCGAAAATCATTCTTCATTCGTTCCCATTGAGAAGATTCTGACGCTTCATCGGCCCAAACTTCTCTACTCTGTTGATGAACCTAAAGTTCACGAAACTTGTCCCTCTTTTAGGCATTATCTAAGGGTTATACTGTATGATGATGATCAAGTATATCTACCGATGACGTCCTCGATCGGATTCAAGCCTTTCCTTGCAAGATTAGACTGGTCGTGCTCAACTTGAGAGTTTTTCGTCCTTACAAACTCGATACGCTATGCTTCGTAGAAGAAATGAGGTCAACGTTCTGTTATTTATTGAACAAAGGCGGTGGATGGTGACGTCGCCTTTACTGATTTACTTCTTTCTAAAGTTGGACGAAATTTTCCAATGGTATCTTTTGATAATGCAGAAATTCTTTTGCTTTTCCTTGACAAATATGTCATGAAAAACCGCTACTGAATACAAGATGTAAGGTGTCAATGCATCGTTTCTTAACAATTGCAAGTGTATGTGGTGTGTGTGTATATATATATATATATGTGTATGTGTATGTATATGTGTGTGTTTGTGTATGCGTATGTGTATGTTTGTCTTTGCGTAGTTATACTTGTAATGGTAGTTGCTCTATCTTCTTGTACTTTGTCATCACCTCCATGTCATTCAATATCGACGGCCATCTTCAGTAGTCGATTTATAAAAGAAACATAGTCAATACACGGTGTCGCATTACTGGCTCTGATAGCAGGTAAGTAACAGACGAGAAGTTAAGGAGAGAAATTTCTGGGCTAATGTTGCCTAATTGAGCTTAACGTCAAGAGCCGGTTATGTCACGTCGGCTGCGGACGACGATGCGGACCTGATGTAGCGCCCGTGGTACATTGCATTACGTCGTCTGGGACCACCTTCCTGTTGGACCGGATCCATTCGGTGAATGTGGCGAGCAAGATGGAGTATGCTCTCCTCGAAATCCTCGCTTTTCGTATGCTGATCCTTCCTATCGATGTGTCGTCGATGTCTTGTCAGCTGTTGAGGCGTGTTTGCCTGTGTGGCAACTATGATGTTTACTCTCTCGTGCATTTACGGTGAGTTATATTGGAAGACTTCATATGATAGTTGTATTAAAAATGCATCGTTATCGTATGAAACATGCCAGTTATTTCCATCATTAGCATTCAGAGTTACCAAGGTCGATCCAGCGCGTTTTTTAATTCTACTTTCATATTTTCACCAAATTCTGCGCCTTAAAATTGGCGCTGTTTCAAAAATTTCCGTAGGATAGTTGTCATCAGAGAATTTACTACACAGTTCTGTCTAAATCCGTATGGGAGATCCATCGAAGCTCTACTGAATAACTAACTGGCAGATCCAGAAATTTTACACCACAGCAAAGTTTGTCGAATCATGGAATTTAGAATGAGTAGGTAATCTTGTTCATTTTGCATATTTTCTCGAACACTACCCGCCTTTATTGTTCTGCTCAGTTTCATCGTTCCTCAGTAACTCATCGCTTTATTAAGTAATGTTTGATGTTTATATCCCGTCACTATAGCACTCCGTTTAGCGCGGCTCTCCGAATCGAAAACGACCGATTTTTCGTCGGGAGCGGACTTTATGCCTTTTGACAATCAAGAATAGTTTCCCAATAACTCGAGTGCTTTAGAGGTTTCGAACGTGACATAATTCTTGAAGAGCCTTTTTTCTATCATTTTTTCTCTGCGATTTGTTTGTATACTACTACTTGCTGTTTGTTACTACGCTCCCTTGTGCAAATACCTTGCTGTCGGCACTTGGAAGTATTTTGCACCTTATGTTCAGTCTATCTAGGCTTTTTTGCGTCCGCACATTCCGTGCAATGACTGCAGTGGTTAAAATCAAATAAGAGCTAATTGTTAGTCAAATTACCGGCAAATGGACTTTTCCCAAGGAAGTTTTTTGCAAATCTTTAAGACCAGAGAATGGCTTTTATGGTCTCTTCCCTGCCAGCTTGATCTGCTTACGATTAGCTCTCGTATGAACATACATAATGCAGGAAAAAAATTTTGAAACACACTGAAGTGAAAAGGACACTACGGTGTCGGTACGGTTACCTAGTGCAAACGCATTTGGTCACTGAGGTGTCCATACTGAGCTTACGGCATATTCCGTCGATATTCTTGCAAATGCATTGCGTATTCTTCGTCTTCATGTTGCTTCAGAAACCTATTGGAACTTTTCATATTCTATTTTTGGTATACTATACTATACTAGAGATTGAACGGATGAGTGTAGCGCAGTGGTTAGAGTGGCGCTGCAATACACTTGAGATCAATCCTGCGCCCAGGCTTACCAAGCCTTCCATTCCTCAGGGGTTGGCAGATTGGTACCAAACTTACCCGAGAGGATAGCAGCACTAGTTCGATACATCGATAGACCACCGCGAGTCAATGTGTAAGGCAGATATGCATTCAGTCACCTCTAACGATGCTTGATGAAGTGGAAAGCATGGCTCATCCATCAGGGGTTGATCGAAGCCGAGAGGTTTATTCTTTTCTTTATCCTTCTGTGCAGATTAAAGACAGGAAAGCATTTCGTTTCATTGATCTATTGTGTTTTCGATAAGTTGACATAACACCATTAAGCTGTTTATTATATCAATATTTATTTTTCGATAGATTTTGTCTTCTTAAACACCTGTAAAGAATTAAATTAACTTGTAAACTAATCCATCAGGCCCTTCCATTACCCTAATACAAAGATCTTGCATTTAATCTTCAAAGAACATCGCATAGGAAGTTATGTAAACATCAAAATGTTTACCAGTGAAAAAAAAATGACATCACCCGAACGGAGTCCACATGAGTCGACGACATCTGAGTGGCCGATTGAGATCAGAACAATCTATCTGAAACACTGGCTTAGTCTAGGTGTGTTTTGTCTGCTCAATCCATTTTTGCGATTTTAACTTTGATCTTCTACAACGCCTTCAAAGGTTTATTGATGATATCTGCGGCTCTTATGCTAGAATCCTAATTTTGAGTTTAAAGTCTTTATTAGGGTTTCATATCTTACATATACCTAGCTTGCGTAATTTATCGAAGTGAACTTGAAAGCCTTCATATATAGATAACCTTTTTTGCACTTACAGAATTGTTCAGGAGGAATTGTGCGATGATATTTTGCTATACAGTGATTTACTGAGGCTTTATAGAATCGTATTTTGTGTAGGCGGTGAAGTAACTTTATGATTTGCGTCTGTCGTCTTTGACGGTCTTGCTGAGAAAACTCGCTTTCGTAGTTCCGGTAACTGTCATTCTGATTTTCGAACACGCTTCAGCTTTCCGTCCCACATTCAGTTTTTGTTAATCTTTTTTATTCGATTACATATCGTAACAGAATGACTGACGTTTCTTAGAAATCATGCTATCCCTTGACCTGATCAAATTCCTATAGAATAGTTTAATGTTTACAGAGTTATACTTCTAATTGCATAATCGTTCTAAGTGCTGCTTCTTATCTCTCGAATCATATCCATTGGTCTTATTGACTTTTTCCAGCTCAGTTTTCATGGTTTAACTATTTCCAGAACATATTGTTCCTATTTCAGTGGCTGAAAGTGACTGTAAGGTAGTAGAACTGTTCGGTGCCTGTGTCCGCAACTTTCAAAATCTTTGAGAACCTGTAAGGACTAGACCAATCTCTGTTATTGAGGTTTTTTTAACTGCTATGACATTTCAGAAGTGACCTCTGCTCACGAGTTCCACTTACAAATAACTCTAGTTCTTCCTCTTAAAGGATTTTCAGACAAATTGTTGATTCTTCTATAATTCTATTTTTTACGTAGATTCTATAAATTAAAGGGCTCTTGATTCTACATTATAAGACATTTAATTTTGATGATTTATGCTTTTCATAGTTCATACTAGACATCGTTTACTTTGTGCGAACAACGACTCCTTGCTCAATTCAGAATCAAACAGGCATACTCCTTTAATTTACAAATTCTTACTCGTGTTTGTAGTTTTTTTCCTTTTTCTTTGTAAGCTGATAGCTTCCTTGAATCAGTTGAAGGGATAAAAATTACAATGAGTTATTTGATGGATTTGTTTGCTATGCTTATAACTTTGTAAGCTATTGTGTTTCTAATAGCAATTTGTCAAGTTTGCACGATGTTTTTCATTAAAGCAAAATGAGAAGCAGTCAAACGGAAGCTAAATAGAGTTAAAAATAGGAAATGTTTAAGATTGCTGCTTCAGAAGGACTCGGAGAGAACGCATTTGAAAATGACTTCTTTCCGTGCACCAAAATTCAATGGGCAGTTTTCTTCCAGAGATACTGTAAGACCTTAGGTATAATAATAACAGTGGAAATTTTTCCGCTTTGTTGAACGCATAATAACAGTGACAGCAATAATAGTTATAATTGTAGTAAGGAAAATAATGAGAGCGCAATTTTGTAACAACATTGGAAAACGGCCAATTTCACCTGGTTTTTCAGCTAGGAAGCGATAACAATTCTCCAAAAAGGAAATTCGTTTACGAGGTCAAGGATTTCTTTTAATTTTGCTGCCAGATTCTCTCTAGGAATGTCGTTCACGAGGTTGAAGGTTGCTTCCATTTAACCTTGTTGGCAGTTTTTCATTTTCATGCAATTTCAACTCCTCGGTTTCTTTTTTTCTTAAATTTTAAATGTAGCATTCAATCAGCACTACTTGCCTAAATAGTACACAAAACAGCATTATTTAATCAATTAGTATATGTAGAATGAATGATAATCTTGTGAAAAGGCAGCGCGCTGAAACATTATGATTTTTTGTGACCATACTGACGTCTTTTCAGTTTAATTGGACCTTCATAGTTATTAATCAGGCAAAATATCGAAGTCAGCTTTTCACTAAATACTGAAACATTCGAAGTACTGTACATGTCCTGTGGACCGTAGTGCTTCTTCATGGCTACGAGAAAATCGAGTTCTATCGAATATCGAAAACGTGTTTATCGAAAAATTTGCAAAGGCTCGCTGATATTTTCCAAGAGTACTACTCTACTGTAAGTACTTCAGATTAGCACGCATTTAGCATTGTGCGTTGTACTGCGAGCAGGCTGAACATGATGGAATTCCTTTTTTTTTCCGTTGTAGGCTTAATCACTTAGCTTTCCCTATCCTTCCGTCATACTGAAAGGCAGTGGTTTTTCGTTTCATCTTTGTCCGTTCGTGCTGAAATCGCCTCTTAAAATTTGCTCATAATCTCATTTCTCAGATGTTAACCATGATGCTTGCGTCATCTTCAGTGGTATATAAACAGTTATTTTGGAAGTGAATATAAATTGAATCTCCTTGTATAGTTATCCCTTCGTATCTCATTCGCTTTCCTTCTTTCCCTACCATTTTAATTGTCGCTGCCGTAAGATCATAGTTACCAGCACCTATAACTTCTTTCATCGTCAAGTTACTTAAGGAACCAATCATTAAGTTCTCATCTTGTTCCTGTTTCACACTGCACTTGCTCATTGGGCTCAGGTTCGTCTAAAAGCATAAAAATATCCTGTTTCCGTTATTATATCCTTTTTTCATTTATTATTTCTTTTTGGCAAGTAAATATCCATGGATTGTTCGCCAAGATGCACTACTGCATAGGTTTAGTATTGTGCTAAGTACCCTGTTATTTAAATGTACTGTTAACTCTTCTCTCCCAACGGTCTACCACCTCATTCTGGCTGGAGGATGCTCTGGGGGTTGGGCTGCTTTTTACAGCGTAGGATTCGTCCCCTGTAATGTCTCCCAAGCTGAGAAAGAGTTTGGCTTTTCCATCAGCCTGGCCAAGAATAACCCAATACCGGGATCCACTACCGTCCTAGTATCAAGCAGTCGCATGGTGGCAAATCTTCCTGTGAGCCACAAGGGCGGCGACTACCTCAGGCGGTGATAACCCGGGGCGAACTTGGGTTTGGCTTATCTCGGGACTCCAGCGAAACACAATGGCTAAACCAGCAAAACTCCGAAAAAACGAAAATTATGCTGGTGTGCGCACAACCAGTGAAGACGGGCCGTCAAGCATTCAAGTAAGTTTACCCTTCAACGATACCTGTGCGATCATTTCA